GAAAGTCAGTCATCCAAATGAATCTGAAAATTGGACTTATGATGACCGCGACGACAACATGTAATCACAGTTGTAGGGGAGGAGCGGGAGATAAGAAAATGGCACCGTGTATGCTCCTCAGGCGGGTCAACACAGCTGCCTGACAGATGGCGAACACTCCTCTAAGGCGCTAAATAAGAAGAACAACGAGGCCCGCAAAAGAGGGCTATTATGGAAACGTGGTGGAATGATAAAACAAATTTATTTTGACACTAACTACTGCGCATCGTGGGAGAGAAATCGAAGTGTCGGGAACCGACACCTACAGTAGGTGGGCTAACTCATGAAATGTCAACCATAATTCTGAAATGCGTTTTCATTTCGAAAAAATGAATTAAGTGGGGTTGTAAAACTAATCATTCAGTTACCTTAGGATGCTGGCTTTCGAACAAACTATTCTCTGCAAAAAAGGACTGCTTAAGTACCATGCATTTTTTCACTGATTTTCGATGCCCCTAAATGTCGAATTATATTCCATGGAAAACATGCATAGAAATATGCAGTCTTTTGCTCATTCGGTAGAAAATTACGTCTTCTTTCAATTTTAAAGTCGGACGAAGAGTTTAATTTGGTTTTAAAAAAGTTTCTAATTCTGAGATTTTTTAATACCGTGACATGGCCCTTCATAAAACGTCGTGTCTCTGCATTTACCAACGGGGCTCGTAAAGTTAACAATGTGGCTCAAATCCACTGCTTAATTTTATGAACCCCATATGGTCTTCTCTTAATACCGCAGAGAAATGTATGGTTTTAGAAAACCAAATTATACCCTTCATTGGAGTATAAAATTGAAAGACGTAATTTTATACTGAAGGAATATTGTTATGCATGGTTTTCATGACATATGGTTGCATTTCTAATGGCATCGAAAATCAATGAAAAAAATGTAGGCTACATTAGTAGTCATTTTTTACAGAGTGTACTTTCTGCACGCAGCCGGAAAGTTTATTCGAAAGTCGGCATCCTGAGGTAGCTGAATATCATAGGATAATGCTGCATGATGATTGGTTTTACAGCCCTACTTAATTAATCTTTTCGAAACGGAAACGCATCTCAAAATTTCCGTTGAGATTTCACGAGTTAGTCCACTTACTGTAAATGATGCGCAAAATAGTGGTGGGCATTTGTCCTTGTCCAGGATCAAGCCACCGAGGTCGTGACGAGGCCAAATGACTATTTACGAAAACCAAGGGGATTTAGTGTCAATCGCGCGCTTCCGTCCCTCAAAATAGCCTTGTCCGGCTTGTACGAAAGGACCCAAGTTCATACTGCCAAAGACCCTTATGGAAACCGCACGTTTATCATAAAAACTTGAGGTACCTATGGTGAAATTTTTTGGGAATGAGGGTAGGAGTCGGAGAGACCGCATCGGTTTATTTTGTCATTTGCGATCAGGATCGTTCAGGTAGATTGATCGTCGAATTCAGCTGCAGTCCGTCAGGTTCCTGATAGTTTCTTATTGACTGGATCGGCCTCATCCCTAACAAAGTCATCTCCAAATGCCCTGCGTATTGCGACCGTCCCAAAGACTGTTGCTACACCTCGGAGCAAGCCAAACATACTCAGTTAATAAGAAAAAGGGGGAGAAAATGGGGCGCAGGTTCAGGAGGACGGGGTAGGGGGGAACGAGGAGAAGACGGGGAAGGGGGAGGGCGGGCGGAAAGGCGGATGGGGCGACGCCAGGTGGCGCTTCTGGTAATTGGTGCGAACAAGAGGGCAGGTGCTGGCCTCGGGGCGATCTTAGGGCCACAAAGGTCCCCTGGCCCTGCATCCAGCAGGAACGATCCTCCAGGTCGGATCTCAATCGTGATGACATTTGACACATTCATGTCCACGCGCGCAAAAGTCGCACCTGGCGAGCTGACACCGGGCTTCTGTTCCACTCCGCCCTCCCCCCACCCTCTCCTCTCCCCGACGGTGAGATATAGGCGGAGAGGGGGATGTAGGACTACTTGTTGAGGAACAGTCAACAGGGCGAAGTAAAGTGAGTCCACGGGTTAGAATACGCAGTACAGCACCAAATGGCGCCTGAAGTACACTTGCCCTAATCCTAGCTGCCACCGTGATTTAGGCTTACAGTAGGTGGGCTAACTCATGAAATGTCAACAGAAATTCCGAAATGCGTTTTCGTTTCGAAAAGATTAATTAAGTAGGTTTGTAAGACTAATCAGTCTGCAACATAATTCTATAATATTTCAGTTACCCCATGATGCCGGCTTTCGAATAAACTTCCTTGCGGCTGCATGCAAAAACTACACTCTACAAAAAATGACTACTTAAGTAGCATGAATTTTTCCCATTGATTTTCAATGCCTTTAAACATTCAATTATATTTCGTAGAAAAATGCATAAAATATTCATTCTTTTGCCCATTCGGTAGACAATTACATCTTCTTCTAATCTATACTCGAAAGAGCGGCATAACTCGGTTTTAAAAAAGTTTCTAACTGTGGGATTTTAAAATACTGTGAAATGGCCATTCATAAATCTTCATGCCTCAGCATTTACCAACGTGGCTTGTAAAGCTAACAATATGTATCACATCCATTACTAAATTTCATGAAACCTATATGGTCCCCCTTTATTATCGTAGAGAAATGTGCGGTTTTCCGTACGCGGAAAATATACGCCTTGTAGTTTGGAAACCCTGAATCCAAATGTGACGGCAGAGAGGGTTCAAAATTATTCGGGAATTAGAAAAGTTTTTGGAAACCGAACAATACCCCTCCTTCGAGTATAAAAGTGGAAGAAGACATAATTTTCTACCGAATGAACGAAAGAATGAATATTTTAATGAATGTTTTCCGTAAAATATAATTGGACATTTAGGGGCATCGAAAATCAATGAGAAAAATGCGTAATAATTAAGTAGACATTTTTACAGAGTGTAGTTTTTACATGCAGCCGGAAGGAAGCTTATTCGAAAGCCGGCATCCTGATGTAACTGAAATATTATGGAATTATGTTGCAGGCTGACCAGTTTTAAAACTCTTCTCAATTAATCTTTTCGAAATGAAAACACATTTGGGAATTTCGTTTGACATTTCATGAATAAGCCCACCTACTGTATGTATTGAGGACAAGTAAGCAGCACAGTTTCCTCACCAGTAGTGATTAGGTCACGAATCTTGGCTATCTTTGGTCGTTTTCTCACCGAGCAGCATTCGAACACATCACTCGATCGTCCTAGCGGCGACGTCCGCGGTGCTCCCCAAGGAGTTTATAGTGGGGCAGACCTGCGCAGCACCTACTGTACTCTCTCCTCTCTCACCCCGCAGGCTCCAATGGAAAGACAGTCTCCAGACGACCGGATTTTAGCTCAGGTGCGGTGACCGACAAATTTAAACGAGCCATCTACGCATGCCACATGACAGTCCGACCGCCTCACTGAATGGTGAGGGTAGGAACGGTGACTTGTGCGTGAATTAGTTTATGGTGATGGTAGACTTGCACTATATTTACCGCATTACTTCCTCCACTCCCACCTGGATCCGATGCCAGGCAGAGTCAAGAAGACCGGAGGTGGGAGGGGCGCAGGTGACTGGCGCGGTGTGAACCCGCGCCCAGGCGTGCCACCACACTCCCTGGTCTATAACAGGCATTTACCCCGGATTTCATGCAACGAGAAAGATCTGGGGGCGGCAGGGATCCCAATTGACTCTGTCTTGACACCGGGTCCAGGTGGGAAGTGGGAAAGGGAGAACGCGGTAGATGCTGCGCAAGTCTACGCCCACTACAAACTAATTTACGCGCAAGCCACCGTGCCTGCTTCACCTCGCTGTAAAGAAAACGGCAGACATAGTTGAACTCGACGGTCGAACTGTCGTTTAGTGGTAAAGGTCTCTGTGATCCGCATTTCGCTCCGGCTCACCTGCAACGCGGCCCATTTGGTGTAGTGGGAACCACCATCCGCCTAAAAAGCTACACTGGGCAAGGGGAATTTCATCCCATGCATACGTGACGCCATGCTCTGAGGCCTAGGCAATGCGGGTATCCGGCTCTCCCAGAAAGTCTCAAACACGAGTACATCAAGACCGCACCTCCAACGGTCCTTTCCCTCTACAGTCTAAGCGAAATGCAAAATCAAGATCAACTCTCCAGACCGACTCCTTTCTATTGCTTCTGTGAACAAAGGAGGCTCTTTGAAACGAGCCTAAGATATAGACTGTAAGAGTCTAGTTGAGATCTCATAAATGATAGCTTCAGATGGTGACGACACATGACGGTGGGCAGGCGTCTCAAACCACGAGGTTATCTCAGAGAGCTGAATAGAAGACGACTACGGCAGAATGATGCTGTGCTTCCTTTTAAGTAATGATCATAAGCAAAACTGTTTACATCCACCCCTGCCTTTTGGCTCTTGAAAATAAACCCTTCATGTTCCCACAACTTCATAAAACCACCCGCCCTCTCACATATGTCCTCAGGGTTCACTAGATAGCCATTCCTCATACTCTGGCCGGCATAATGACGCCCTCTACTTATTCGGAGAGTTCACCGTGGCTGCTGTCTTCAACGCACCGGACCCTTATACACGGCGTGAGTAAGACGGAAAGCCCCTTCAAAACGTCATCCAATGAAGTGATTCTTCCCCTCCCTTTGATATGTCATCTTTCTAGATTTGTACAATATAATTTCAATTGCAGTGCCTCAACCGGAGAAAAGTACAGAACCCTGAAGTTAGGGCGAGCTATAAGCACATGCATATAGGAGTAACTTTGGGGAGAAGGGGATCAGCAGACGGTCGGTAGGAAGATATGATCCAGAATGTGGTCCTCCAGATCCGTAAGCTCATTAAAGGCCCGACCGCAGCAGAAGCAAGTGGATGGTCGATCGTCGCCAGGGGTGCACTTTTGGGGTCCTTCGACAGGCGACCACGGCGTCTGAGCGGACATGGAGGAGAGAGAATCCGCCGCATGCATCGAAAAGGTTGCACAACACCTCTCCCGCCGCTGATGCTGCTGCTTTCTATCAGGCCGTAGGAGGTTTTCAATGCTGAAGTCAGTGACTGCAGTCTGACGGCAACTGGTGACCGTACTCCCCTGCTGGCGGTGATCATGTGAAGGTGGTGGTTTCGTTCGCTTCACCTGCCGGCGGTGTTTAAAGGTGAGGGAGGAGGAGAGAGGTCTGGATGTTCTGAGGATGGGCAGGCTGGGACGGGCCAGTTTTGGTCGATGCCAGCGCTGGTGGCTTGCCAAATTGGCTGAGCAGGTGAACACCTGAAAAATTGACCCACACTTCGGTAAGGGGGGGGGGGTGGGGAAACATAACTGAGAAGAGTGGACAAGTAAAGTTGAAAGAGCGTTTTTTGACCGGGTTACAGAATGGAACACGATCATCTTGGAACCGCGCAAGTAATGATAGGCAATGACTACTAAAATGTCATAGCAGCTGCTATTTCTTTTATGTGAACGGAGGATTAAACCCAGCCATCGGTCGTTATAGAGTCACTATGGTGTGTTTCCAGCGAGTGATTAAAAATTGCGATATGTGGACGGGTTTTTTAGAGCGCTGAATAGTGATTGGTCGAACATTTTCATGCGAGCCGCGACGGCGTCTGGGACTACTCTTGAGCCTAAATTTTGTGAAATTATGTTTAAATGACACTTCCAATCACTGAGAGACCATAAAAGTGTCATTAAGAAGGCTGGTCAAGCGAGAAACTTGGTCAAATAATAAGTTATTACATAATTACTCACTTTAAAAGTCTCATGCAGCTCACCCACAATTTAGTTAGTTATTTAGTATAGTCAGCTAGCTAGTCGGTTATTTACTTAGTTAATTGGTCAGTTAGTTAGTTGGTATAATTAGTTAGTGGGTTAGCATAGGTAGTTGGTTTGTCAGTCGTTTATTTAGTTAGTTAGCTGGTTAGTTAGTTATTTAATTAGCATAGTTAGTTAATATTGTTGGTACAATTAGTTTATAGTCACTCGTCTCGAAAGTCTCGGAAAGTCTACCCAAACTTTAGATTTTTCAAGGCTTTTGGCCTCCAGTTGTCCGTCCAGAAATGCCATCCGGTTGGATATGGCAATGAGGATGTGCCAATCATTTAAACTACATAACTAAGCAAACGGTCGATATTTACGATAGTCAGTTGGAAAGGTCATTATTGAAAGGCAATTTGTTATCGCATTATCACTCTGATTACCATATTCCTCTGTTTCCCTAGCATGCTATACTTTGCCGTTTGTTCGTTTTAACTAATCAACGTTTTATTTGTCCGTTTACGTTTTGGTTTTTTGGGCTGAGCGTTCTATTAGATTTCATCTGAAAGTGCATTAATTAACAAATCCCATTTGTCCATCACCGATCACTCTAGGGCGGAAACGTGTCTAGACAGTTGCCAAGGTTTCAAGGCGGCGGGGCGCGAGATTTTCAGTAGATCTGCACTTTCAGTGAAAACCCCCTCCTCATATGTCACATCTTGCGTTAAAATGCCCACCAACAGTGTCATCTTGTTGATTTGACACTCAAATGTAACTAGTGTGGGGATGTATTCGGAGACTTGAGGTTGTGGGTTCGATCGACCAACTCGCAGCAGCGTGTCAAATCGTCACATACATGTCATCCTAACCGCCCATTCGCGTGAGAATGGGTTAATAAATTTTTCGTGCGGCATTAACTAGGACACCGGCTCGTTATATACTAGAAATAAATAAAGAAACGGCTAACGAGGAACTTATTGGGGTAATTCTATAGAGAAAAACGGACAATTAATCTAAAGTGAGTGGAAGGCGGTAAATCGTGACTTAAATTCTTAAAAAACTCGGAGGTATCGAAACGACCTACAACAGGCCGAGAGATTAGTGCGTGGAATTCGGTACCTACACCCCGATTTGGTGTTTAACAGCCACAGCGGTCATCTGGCCGGGGCTGATGAACTTCGGCCCAGATATTCATGCGTCAAATTTCGGTCTGCGCCTAAAGACCTTAGAATATACTGACCAACTCCAAATCCGCAGTCAACTTCTGAGGAAATTAAAAAAACAACAATTTGTAAACTGGAGTACCTAACAGAAAGCGGACGGGGAATGATGGGGGACCCAGCGACGAGCCGAACCCCTCACAGCTGTACAATGCAGCTGCAGAATATCGGCAACACACGCGTGTCTGGGCTTTTAGCGAGTGCCTCTGCTATTAGTTTGATATCCCTTTACCCTAAAATATACTACTAACTGCCTATCGGCAGTTAGTGAATTTTACGCTGTCATTCTGCTGTGACTGATGGACTTCGGCCCAGATATTAATACATCAAATTTCGGTCCGCGCCTATAGACCTTAGAATATACTGACCTACTGCAAGTTCGCAGTTAATCTCTGAGGAACTTAAAATGCAACAAATCGAACAGATACCCCCAAGAAGTCGTGAAGCCGTTCTTATCCACCCCCAAGCCAGAGGATAAGAACTAGAAGCCTGTCGAGGCTATGATATTATTTGTCATGTGGTAGGCACCAAATGCAAACAATAAATAACATAAATCCTAACGTGTATTGTGAAGCACCACGGAACGCGTCATTGGGATTACAGTAATGGTTAGTGCGAAGTAAGCTCTGTGTTACCTCATGCACGACATCATTCTGAATTCCGAGCGGGGAAGCTTTGGGACGCCTGCGTCGGTCGCACTCAGCAACGCTCGCCACTTAAGTAGTGTGTTTATTTTCTATTTACTTACGACTGTTTTATTAATTCAGCTATTTCAGGCTGTGTCCAGTTGTGAAAAATTCGGTGATCTTAGTGGGAATTGAACCCGCGACAGCAAAGGCAACGCTTGAGCACAACTACTGCTCTCAACACCTGGGATATGAGGTCCCAGCCGAAAGACTACCGTTCGTTTTCAGTTGGGCCAAGTCGATCAGACAACCAGCTGCGAAATATAGAGTCCACGATTTCTTACACAAAGCCTACCTAAAAGTCATATTTAGAATTCACTAGAGGTTTCCCAGGCACTTTGAATAAATATACGCTTTGGCAGGTTTGGCTAATTTAACCGAATACCAGCTTCGAATCCCAATCGGGTCACGGGCTTTTTACAACTATCAGTTAAATTGTTCTAGTCTGTTAAAAAAACAAATAAATGCAACTATATTTCGAGGCAAAATTTTGCAAATATTTTATTGTTGCCACTCACTCTGTATAAAGGATTTTTTACGTTAAGTCTCAAAAACCTGGAAATTTCTCCAAGAATCGTCATTTAATTTGTATATTTTTGAACATTTAACTTAGAATATTGTTATTCACATGTCCTTTCAACAAAATATCCTGATGACTTACTTAATTAGCATCATTCGTGAGCTGCAATAATGCGCTTAGAACCAGGTGTGCGTTCCACAAAGCTCACATTTATAGCTACCGTCAAAACAAGGACATCATATCATTTCAACAAATACATTCCAAACTTTAATTTGACATAACCTCGTGTGTTATGCGCAAGTTTGTGCATCCATTGGGAAGTAATGAAAACGACCACACCAGAAATCACCAGTGAGCAGAAACCCGAGCAAAAAATCAGGGAAATATGTGTTTAACATGAGAAATGTCAGTCAGATTTGAAGTTTTCGGTTCCGATGTCTTAACACTCCAGGTGCAATTACTGATTCCAGAGTCTCCGGAGTAATTTACAATGAAACCAATGATTTCGAGCACATCTATAGTGATACCAGTAGAAGTTATGCGTTGGTTGCTGTAATACTGACAGCAAGTGTCGCTATAATGGTGATAGCGACGGCGTTTATTTCAAGAGTGTTAAGTGTCGGCAAAAGCAGCGGTATTAACGGGAACGATGACAAAATCAGTGATTATGAAATAAGCACTTAATCAATTGACGTAGGGTTAACGATCGTCGCAGTGCCAAAAGTACAACAGCCTGACTGTTTGCTTCAATGATGTCTACCGTGTGCACCAGTGAAGAATGAGAGCAGGGACAGTGAAGTTGTTTATAATGATAGTAGACTTTCGCCGCGTCTTTCCTCTCGCACCCACCTACGCCCAGTGTAATGAAAGAGTTAGGAAGATCAGAGGGGTTAGAGGACGGAGGTGATCACCACGGCGAAAATCCGCACTTAGGAGTGCCACCATACCGGCTCGGCCTGCACAAAGTGGGGGTGCCACAGAGGCCAAATATGGGAAAAATTCATTGCGGTCTGACTCTCAGTTCATGAATCGGCCACTGCATACAGACACGCACCGAACCGACTGCGAGTTACCCCATACGTCGGCAGCCTTCCAAGCCGCAGCTTTTAGCGCACCCTGATAGAATTAGGCTCGTCAGAGTGGTTATGGTGAGGAATATGCGCTGAGGTTGTCGACCGCTTCCTAATGTCATGCACCAGTCCACTGTTCGAGCTGGTCAGTTGTCTGGTGTACGGTGTGAGTACAGTGACCGACAGAAATTGAGGGCATGTCTACGCGTGCCGCATGCAAGACCTGCCCCCCCCCTCCAAACGCACACACCAGGATTGCTGACAAGAGAGGATAGGCGGCTGATATCCCAAATGTGTTGGAGAGTCATTGAGAGGGAGCCATCCAGTGCATAAAGCCACAATGTGTTGACTGCAAGGTCTGAATCGAATCATCAGCTGACGAACTCAACCCACGGCTTCTAACCTACCGTGATATTCTCAAGCGTGTCAGATTGTTTAGAGAGGGGAACTGTGCGTTGCGATAGTCGACCTCACTTGCTCTACCCAAAAGCGAGCACCAACTGACTGTCTGAGCCAGTCAATCAACTGATGCTGAAATCGGAAGGACTGACTGGCAGAATTAAGAATAGTCTGTCCGTGTGTCTCACGCATACGGCCTGTCCCGATAGGCACACATTGGTATTTCATAGAGGGGGTAGACTGTTCAAATCTAAAATATAGCAGAGGAGCCAAATGGAGAAGGAGCCAAAGAACACACTTCCCACCTACGTGAGAAATGCCTGCAATAGGTGGTGTTGGAGGTACGCATGTGTGGTGCATATGTTTATGGGGAATTATGTGGTGATGTGGTCTGCATGGTGGTGGAGAGGTGGCGGTATGTTTGTGGTGATTTATTACCTTGATCTCTGGAGGCAAAGGTGGCCAAGTTGGCTCATGCGATGCCGGCGGATGTATTTCGCTGCTCCAAGTTCTGGTTTGCCAGTATCTGTGCGATGGACTTGCAAGTGATGCATCAGGTCTAGGCGTGACATGCAGGAGTGATTGCAATGTGGGCAGGATAGGTTAGGAGATGCTGAGTCATTGTTGCTTTTTAATTTTCTCAAAAATTAACTACGAATTTGGAGTAGATCAGTTTATTCAAGGTCTATAGGCTCAGACCGAGAATTTTATGTATGAATATTTGGGCCGAAGTCCATCAGTCACAGCGGCTAACCGCGTAATATTGAGTAACTGCCGACAGGCAGTTAGTAGTATACTTTAGGGTAAGGTGATACCATACTAACAGCACAGGTACTAGCCAAAAGCCCATACACGCGTGTATCGCCGATATTCTGCCGCTGCATGGCGCAGCTGTGAGGGGTTCGGCTCGCCAATGGGTTCCCCAGCATTCCCCGTCTGAGCCTATAGACCTTGAATAAGCTGATCTACTCCATGTTCGTAGTTAATTTATGAAGAAATTAAAAAGCGACAATTCCTAATTTGGAATATCTACCAGAAAACAGACGGAGAATGCTGGGGGACCCAGTGACGAGCCGAATCCCTTGCAGCCGCGCCATGCAACAGCAGAATATCAACGAAACACGCGTGTATGGGCTTTTGGTTAGTACATGTGCTGTTAGTATGGTATCATCTTACCCTAAAGATGCTGAGTCAGTTGACTGGCAAACATAATGATAACCCAGATAACAGTAGTGATACTCCTGGTGGTGATGACGAGGGGAAGAAGAGGAGGAGGAGGAGGAGGAGGAGGAGGAGGAGGAGGAGGAGGACTATTCGATTGACCCAATTGTGAAAAACCGGATCTCGGCACGACTTAATTGCCCGACAATTTGGACACGGCGTTAATGCAACTAGCGCCCTAACTAGCTGAGCTACGGTGCCCCGACTAACAGCCTCCTATTGTGTATATTTAGGCTAACTTGATCGCTTAGTCTACTCCAACGTGTAGAATTCATCACCGCTAACTCCTAAATGTATAAATTAATTACAGCACAGTCGACTTAACCAAAATGTTAAAAACTGAATACCATCAGTTTTGGTCTCATATTTCATGTGACTAGAGGACCAGTTTTACTAAAATCATGCCCTTACTCCTGTGGAGTCAGATTCCATCTAGGTCACGGAGTTTTTACAAGTGGGTTGGTTAATTATTCAAGTCTGACATAAACACCTAATACTGATAATGTCAATGACATAAGTAAGAGTTGTGAACGTTTCTCACCAACTTAAGGTTAGGAAGTGCTATCATACGACGCTTTCAACATCAGGTGTTTGAAATTTTGTTTGTCGTCAGTATTAAGAACTTCTGGTGAGTGGTTTCTTGAGGATGACAACGAGTCTCCCCAACTGTAATCGTATTCACTGTCGCAAATGAATAGCGTTCCTCGAACTATCCTATCAGGAATAAAAACTTTTGTTAAAGTTGGGATTGATGACAACATCAGGAGGTGTTTGGCAGATTTTAAATAATTTATTTTGACCCACTATGGTTAAGTTCACGGCCTCCATCGGGACCTCGTAGTTTAAGTGGCTAAAGCGTTGGTCGTACTCAAGCCTTCCTTTAGCTGTCGGGAGTTCGAAAACTACCAAGGTGGCCGAGTTTTTCACAGTTGAGTCAAAATAAATTAAACATCAGGAGGGGTTAACTTAGTGACAGTGATAATGGTAGCGGCTTTGCAGGAAATCCTTCGTAATAACTGTGTTCGGTAGAGACCCCATACAGATGGAAGTGTGACAATTTGTGGTAAAAGTTATAACGACTTTTCACACAAAAACCTACCTTCTCGCATTCATAACAATTGTAGGTAGTTTGAACAATGCCCGGACAGTGGTGCTGGGCAAGATTTAGGGCGCAGTTAAACTCTCGACCACAAAGACGACAGACGAATTCTCGCAGTTCGACGTCACCAGTCAGCCTTCTTCTGGGTAATGGTCCCGCCTCCAAACGCGGCTGAAGCACGGACGACAACGAGGCGGCAGTGGAGGGGGAGGAAGAAGCTGGCGGTGAAAAGCTGCTTTCTTGACTGTCAGCGGAGGGTATGGGGAACAGCCTGCTATCTGGAAATCCGCAGCGACCATAGCTGTGCTCAAGGCCGACGAATCCACCCGACTGACTCCCCACCGGCGGCGTCAATGCCAATGTCTGCGTCGGACTCCGATACATAGCAGACGCCACTGTCGGCAGTGGATAACTTCGAGGCTGTACCGGGGTCGATCCAATGTGACAGAGGTTGGAAGTATCATTGTCAGCTGTGTGGGCAGGATTACAAAAATTGCGCAGAGCCCTGAACGTTTCCAGGGTCGCAAAGAGGTGTTGAAAAAGACTGCCCTCTGTTTGCTCAACTTCCTTGAACCGTTTTAGATGGGCTGGCAACGCTGAAAGTGTTGCCGTAACGGGGAAACCACTTGTCATGACACTGCAGTTGCCCTTACTATCACACTTTACTTTGGCTGCAACGGGGATTCGGTTGCGCGGATATAACCATATACGCCGTGAGAGCATGCCGGGCGCCTATTGGTTGGTGCGAGCGTCCGTCCACGCGGAGGCATCTGGCCAACGAATCGCAACACGGGCGATGTTCGCGGCCTGCCGAATGGCACCTACGCACGCGCATTACGCCGGTGTACTGATTGGTTAAAAGGCGTTTTGCATATAGGAATACGCAACAGTTCGCTTTTCAAGTCGGGGTTCAGGCCCACGCAGTAAAACTCTGTCGCAATTACAAGGCCGACGGCAGGCCAACCGAAAAAAGGCCATCGAAAAGCGGAAGAAGCAAAGTATACAGTAAAGATAAACACATAAAACAGACACTGTGGATGAATCGGAAATATAGACGAGGAGGAGTGTCATGAAGATCTCGTAATTCAGTTTTTAAAATTCCTAAAGCTCTTTCTGATTCCGAAGTCAATATGAGGCGGGTTCGGTCGGATATCATTTCGTAGCCGTGCCTACAGTAGACAAACCCCAGCCTCACCCCTAACCCCCAACCTTAACCCTAACCCTGACCGCTAACCCCTAACAGGTACGACTACGAAACCAGATCTTGCCGCGGGTTTTCTACCAGTTGCTTCCAAAAATATATCTTTAATGCAGACGAAAGGAATGTTCTACTTTGACGTCGTTCTCGAACCAGATTGCTTTAGGTGGCTGAAAAATACTGAGTTGAAAATCACGATATCACGCAGTACAAATGCGATTAAATAGGAATTCTGCAGTCCACCGTCACGTTGGGTGGCGCTTCATCGAGTTGGTCGCAGAATCAAGACTTCGTCGACATTCTTCTTCTAGTTTAGAGCGGTAAATAAAATGTACTTTTAACAAAGGATGATTTTGTAGAATCGCCTAAGCAGACTTCAGGTGAAGCCACAATGTTTGAATAGCTACCCTTCAGCTAGGGAAATGTGAGTCCCATCTGTACATGGAGAAGTGGCCTTCGACCAGCATCGAGGTCCTGTTCCGTGGCATAAAATATTATCTAAAACATATAAACGTTCTTTTCAAAGCGAACATCGACCGTAATATTTCTTTTCATTCAAATTGTCGAAAAATCATCATTAATACACACACATATATATGTGGTGGAACCTGCCATCTTTAAATATATATGCATATGCAGGCAGAATGGCATTACCGACACAGACAAGGGAGACTGGAATGACCATTTCTGGCTCGTTAGCCATCGTCAGCCAGTCATATCCAACCCCGAAGTGTGGCACACCCGAGGCTCAAAGTCGCGACCTGTTAGCTAGAAGTCCACGCCTCTAACCACAGGGCCACGAGCCCGTTGCCCTGTCGGTTTCGATCAGGAATATACAATGGTAGGGGTCGCTCACCGATCGTTCTTACGGAACTCACTCGTTCCGTTGTGCCTTACGGGCTCTCTCTCGGGCCCAACCAGCAGCCGCACAGCGGTGCATCATATGGGCAGAATAGCATTACCGACAAAGACAAGGGAGATGGGAACGGCCATTTCTATAATATATATATATATATATATGAATAACAGAAGTAGTATGCATTCCGAGATGATATGATGAAAGAAGGAAGTCCGTCGGAAATAGAGTTTTACTCGTAAATTTTCGAGCTGGTTGCACCAACCCGTCGTCAGACAAAGCGAAAAGTGAGAGGTGGCATTGTCACACTGCTGGTTGAGGATCCAAGGCCTTAATGTAAGCCCTGATGAATGCCTTTTATCGTTTGATGTAGTTGCTCTTTTCTCCTCAATACCGCATAACTTGGCCACTGAGAGCGTAGCTCGACGCCTAGAGGAAACTCCGATTGGCATTCCAACAGAGCACGTTTTAGACATGCTTGGGCTTTGTCTTAAGAACTATTGTCAATTCGATGGCAAGTATTACCAGCAGGTCAAGGGCACCCCCATGGGTTCACCGATATCGGGCCTACTCGCCGAAATAGTCTTACAAAGACTATAAGAAGTTGTTATTCAAGCCATCAAACCAAAGATGTGGCTCCGCTACGTAGACGATACCTTCGTAGTCATAAAAAACTGCGAAGTTGAACGACTGCACCAGAGTCTTAACGGTGTTTTCTCCGCCATACAATTCACACGCGAAGAAGCGACAGGGGACATCCTCCCTTTTCTTGACGTCAGTGTACAAAGACTGACTGATGGCAATCTCGCAATCAGCGTCCACAGAAAAGACTCCAGCGCCGAAATCATCCTCAACTACGGGAGTAATCATCCTGCGGCCCACAAAAAAAGCTGCGTTCGAACTCTTTTTCACCGAGCCTTTCGGTACTGTAGCAGCCAGTATCTACTTAAGAGAGAGCTAGCCTACTTATACCAATTGTTCCGATCTAACGGATATTCGATTAGCTTCGTGAAAAACTGTCTCAGACGTCAGAGGCAACCACAAGATCAGAGTTCAAGTGGAGAAGCGACACAGAGGAAATATTATTCCCTGCCCTACATGCGAGGAATTTCTGAAGTGATGGCCCGACAACTAAACCGGTTTGGCATCTGCATTGCCCACAAGCCGGCGTCCTCCTTACGCGCAGCACTATCCCGGGCAAAGGATCCCATACCCAAAGAGCAACAAAGTAACGTCATTTACCGCATCCCGTGCGCTAACTGCCGTTGCGTTTATATTGGTCACACGGGTCGACAACTTGGGACTCGCATTAATGAACACAAGTTAGCTATCCGCCGACGCGACCCCTTATCTCTCGTGTTTGCCCACGCTCTTGATTGTGACCACCGTTTCAATTGGGACGATGCCGAAGTGGTCGCCATGGCCAACACTAAACATGCACGGGAATTCCTCGAAGCTTGGCACTCCGGTGCAGATAGCATTAACCGCCATGTTGACCTTGATGTCCATTACGAAGGTCTCCGATCACGGTGGACTGACTGGCGCCCACCTTAAGAACAACA